AGCAAATTAACTGTCTTCGTTGTTCACTGTTAGATTTTTTTTTGTGTGTGCACATATATTTAAAATCTGCACCATAAACAATGTCTTGTATTCTTTATATAATTTTAGCTCTATGCATAAAATTTGTCAGTTGACCCATTTAGATGGAAAATTAAAAAATGATCTGGTAACAAAAAAACTTTGTTTTTTATTTATGCTCATGTTTTTGAGTATCAAAACTTTATAGAATTATCATGCAAAAAGTGTGAGATATTCAAAGTTTATGATTCAAAGATATTTTGCTGACTAAACCGATGAAGATGAAGAAGAGGATGTTTGAATGTCTGCATGGATAATTTTTTTGGTGGTTTGATGTGTTAAATAAAGCATTTAAACATGATACAACCAAATGGATAAAACTGGAAAGATGAGAACACATTTAATTTGAAGGATCCGAATCTGTTCCTATTGATCTTTACAGCGTTTGTATCCATTGTGTAAATTTAAGAGTACATATGTTATCTTTGTCAACAGAATACAAAGTACCGCATTAATATTGGACCACTAAATGTATATCTTATCTTCAATTGCTTTTAACTTTTAGATAAACTGAATGTAGGTCAGAATACGTGGCTGTGCAGTACACCACTGCCTCCATCTACTCACTACATCCACAAAGTTCATGTTGGCAAACAATAATTTATCTACTGTAACTGAAGTTCTATGGTCTGTACAACAATGTAAAGGTATATGCACTTAAATGAAATTATGCACTAGAATATATTAATCAGTGTGTACCATGTAAATTAACAATCAGTACAATCGCGCATCAAAGCTTACTAAATGTGTGAAAATGAGTTACTCTCCACCAGATAATTGAAAGATAAATTTCGCTTGATTTAATTAAGGAAATAACGATGTGATGAAAAGCATCAAGTAAAAAATCTGGCATTTTGTGGAGAAGTAATTTGAGACTTGGAAACGAGCAATGTTGTTGGCTTTACCATCAGCGCTACAAACATCATTTGAGTGACTGATTTATGAATGTACACTGGAAAATCTGAGAGAGCGTGAGAAGTTATCAGCTAGCGGCAATTTTTGCTAGGTCACGTACAATCATAAGCTGAACATTAAATCTTGTCTTTCAATGATGCATTACATTTTCTATATAATCACTACAAACTAATCTATGTTAGGCAGCACGCACAGTATTTTTTCCCCTATGTAATGAGAGTGAGCTATCCAGAGGGGAATGGAGTTGATTGTTACACGGTCAATGAGAAAAATCTGCATATTGCTAACTCGAACATAGAACTCCATTATGGAAAGGTGAACACAGTAACCATCAAACCACAACATGTAATTTGCATAGGAATGGAGAATATATTTTCATAGAGTGTCCAGTCTTAAAATCAAACTGAACATTGGTTGCTTCAGAAGAATATATTTATACTTTAAATTACCAAGGAACATACTAACAATAGGGAGCATGACGACGGTAGGACGTAGAACATAATGACGCCACTAAAAGTCATCTGCGCATGTAGGAACTTCAATTTCTCCTCACTGTGTGAATTCTAGGATGCAATTTGGCCAAATTTATGTATGGAGAGCGTAGGACGCCTGGTAGAACGGTCATGCATGAGTGATTCCATTCTAACGTCTCGATGTCGAACAAATCGAAAGCTCTCTAATAAAAATTAACTAGGCCATACATCTCTATAAAGAGATGTATAGCACTTGTCATATTTACGTGGGTCTACTATGGGACAATCATGGATAACAAGTCTCCCATGAGTCGCAGAAGTCACCCAGAAATCAAGACGGCCTCATGCACTCCGGCAACAAAGATAAATCTCGCAGAAACTAACCGATTTTCCGCAAATTTATTTACATAGCTTCACTAATGTCTCCTAGAAATGGTTTCTTCCTACAAGGGACTCCTGGGGCGGATTGCTATAAAACGGTCTTAACTGGTAGTCTTAATTGGTAGTCTTAACTCCTTGAATAAAGCCGGCTTTATCACTTAGACAGTCGCTCTGTTAAGACCACCGTTATAAAATGGTCTTCGCTTAGACCACTTTGATTAATGAAATGCAAACAAGCAGTCCCTGGTAACATAAAATTGAGGGCGCTGTTACGCTTGATCAAAACATGCATATTTATCAAAATGAAAGTAAATGATAGCAATGGTCTATAATCATAGACCAATAGTGCCGTCATGATTAAAGCCTGCTAAGCGTTAAGACTGTCTAAGGACCGCTTATAGCAATCCGCCCCTGGAATACATATCTGTTAATTATACCGGTAATTGTTATTCTATGAATATATAGTACTGTACGTAGTACCATGGAGGTATTATGAGAAGGAGATCACTCGGCAACAGATCCCTTTGACGCGACAAACCATTTGGATCGCGCGCGGGTGTATTACCCTATAATTCACATTTTTTTCGTTATCAACAACTTGGCAACGACATGCGTTTATACACTCCAGCACGGCAGTTGTGCGATAAAACGTTTGATTTTAACCCATTAAATATCTTTATAACAAACAATGTTCCCCGATTGGATTTTTTCGGACTTTTAGTATGTTATTATGTGTATATTTCAGAAACGGATTCCGCAAACTATTTCTGTTAAAATTACTTCTGTGTTCATTACAATTTTGTCTAAAGATCGATTTGTTTGACTATAAAGCTAAGGCAGCATAAAACTGAAAATTACTCTGATTCTGGATTGAATTTTTGAATAGTTAACCATCGTTAACCCTAAAACGACTTAGTTTATTATAATCCTCCATCATTCCTTAATTAATATCTGTTAAAATTGGAATTATCGAGTTTTATCCAATTTATGGAAATTCAAGTTGCAATAAACCATACTTTTAAAGCTGATGTAAATGTTTCATTAAATTCGAAACTCTTTTTTTAAAAGAAAATATTATGTTTGGTATTTCTTGAAAGATCAATGTATTAGCTTCAAGATGGAAACGATTGCGCAGCCATAGTGATTGACTGTAAGTAGTGTGCATTGAGAAAAGAACGTGCTCTCCACTCCGCCGTGTTCAATCTTTTGGTAATCAAAGCCTGCTGAGCATTTGGTGGCGGGGAACACATTAGACTTCAAAGGCATCGCACAAATGTTCTTCACGCGCTGCGGCAGCTTTCGTCTTGATTCATTTGCATAGCTCTGCGTGCGCGTAGCTTTTTCGAGTGATCTCCTTCTCAATAATACCTCCATGGTAGTACAATAGTTTTTAAATGATTAAAAAATAATTAGGTTGATTGCTATTGACTTTAATTAATATTGTTATTTTAAAATAACTTAAGCTGCATTCACATTCAATCCGCACTGAAATCTGTACGCATTTCCAAAGTGCTGCAGGCTTTCCAATACAAAAATTTGGATTCGGTGTGAATGCATCATAAGGAGGAAGTAAGCAGGTTATTGGCTAACATTCATGCTGGTAATAGCTTGGTTCACGTTGAACTTTTATCTAGATATACATCCACTTAACTAGTTAAAAGTTCGACGTGAACCACTCAATTATAGCTAGTTAAAGGAATTAAGTCACTTTAGTTAAGTGACTTAACTTTACTAGAATAACGGTAAATTAACTTGCTTAACGGTAAAGTCGGCTCGGATTACAAGGACACGATTACGTAACGTAGGCATCTAAGCCAGCTTTGTGTCGCTATTAATTCAGTTTACCACCAACGCCGTCGTTAAAATGAGCGCACATGTTTTACGATGACGAAATAAAAAAGTGTGTGTAAGTCAGCAACTTATTTGACACCGCGAAGCTAGATTTTCGCGAAGTGCATGGAAACAACATAATTGAGCGATCTAATAACTACAAAACAGGACAGAAAGGCCCATAAAGTATACATACGTTTTAATGAAAATTAAAACAATATTTTGTTAAATGGAAGAATGCTAGCTAGCGATTAAAATAATTCGTTTTTTATCGAAAGTAAATGTAGCTAGGGCCAGGGCCTAGAGAATCTACCACTTAGATTGTGATAGAACACGCTGCTGCACTGGTCGTTGGTTCATACTGGTCGGCTAGGTTAGGTAGTGGAAACTCACACCTTCTCTACAGAATTTTTTTTTGAACGAATACCACTTGGTACTAGAGGTTCGTAAAATACAGTAGATGTTTTATTAAACAAGCCTTTCCACCGTGTGACGTCGACGGCCTGAAACTGGCTGGCTGTTTATCTGGCTCAAACTTGGCATCGAATGCAATTAGGGGATTATCGTATCATGTTTCAAGACGGGTATATCTAGATAAAGTTCGACGTGAACCAGGCTTACGCCCTTTATGCATGCTAATAACCTTTTACAACATTATGTAAAATAACTATGACATATGGTAAATAAGTTACAACTCTTAGGTCTACCTATTACCTTCATAAGTGCAAAAATGTAATTAGATATTCCTACAAGGCTATTGTAACTTTGTCCATAGTCTAGTCTAAAACATTTCATTTATTTAGCTACACTGTATCTCTCTGGAAGTGCTCATATATAAAGATGTAAAAATATATATCTGACTATTGTGTAATTACATCTGTGTTAAAGGAGCTAAGGACTGCAATAACATCCATAGCAAATGAAACCAATTTTTCAGGCTTATTAAATATGGTTACAACGCAACCAACAATGCAATTTTACATGTTTGGAAAAGTAATGTGCCATACCTCCAATAGCCAGTTTTCTCACCCTGAAAAATTATTACATAATAGCTCCCTTAAAATTCAGACAATTCCAATTGCCATGCCAACTTGGAGTCCTTTCTTGTGTGTGTTACATTAAATGTTTATTTTATGTTAATACGAACATGAATCTAAACTATGAAATCAGCAACAATATTTCACTTTATGTCTGTTTGGAAGATGATAACTTATTGTAAGAAATGGGTACTTTGATATTTTTTTGAATTTGCAAGAGTATTTCTTTTACAGATTTGACGATATGTTATTAATGAAATTTAAGTTTACTTACCTGACTCAAAACTTCACCGTTTGCTTTCTCTGCAAGCTCAAATATAGGATAATCCCATTCATCTACATTGTTTATAAGCTCCCTACATTCTGGTTTAATGGGTGATAAAAACACATCTTCATCCTCCACAGCCTAAATTAATTTTTAAAAATATTAATATTATTATCGTTCAGTTTTTATGTGTTATGGATAAAAAAACAAGTAAGAACATATATACAAATGTGTACTTAGTAGGACTGGCATTAATTATAATATCATTATCATTATTTTGTTTTATTTTACATAATAAAATGACTGTATTTATCGAAGTATTTAATATATATAAATACTGTATTAGTATCTGGTAATAAAATAATAACATATTAATCCTAAATGAAAATAAACAAATACTGAAGTAACATAAACCAAATCAAAAACATTATATTAAACATGAAGAAGTATGGTTACTGTACAGAGTAAACACAATACATAATTACAACTTCATATAAGAAATACATGAACTGATTCATAAATTAATAACATAATAGGAATCATAAATCATAGCATACATAAGGAGTAATGAGAATGTCGGATGGATGAATTTAAAAAAAATGTTCCATCATGACTGATGACAATGTATTATATGATATTACCATCTTGTAATATTGATTTCCCAGTGTAACTATTACTACACACACATTATCATTGCCACACAACTGTAAAATATTAATAATATAATAAACATGATTCTGAATCAGAATACATATTTCCTTTCAGGTTTTTTTTTTTGCTTTGATAAATTGGAAATATTGTTACAACAAATTGTTATGAAGAATACATAGGCCTACAATACAAACTTGAATCCTTTTTTAGTTGTTTAATGGCCAACCATTTTAATATTTTCTTTGTGCTATATACATCAAATTATGTGATGTAAGATTAATTTCAATTTTTTTTAATACTTAATAAAAATATGTATATGTTTATGTTTTTGTTTCATTTAATTCCAATTACAACAACAAATTGATGTTATGTTTATCCTGTTTATCTTGCCCTGTATTGGAAAAAAATGATATTACACATATATTATTTACTTAAAACATGAGTCATTTTTATCATTCGATTTACAATAAGACATTATTCACAACTTAACTTGCCCTTGTCAGAAGAAAAAACTGTCTACAGTAATTAAGTTTGTTTTTTTTATCCTGCCACCGACAAGGGTGTTGTCGTCTTTTTTGTCCTTTTGTATTGTTGTTTGAATTGGCGAAATAAATTAATTGAAAAAATCTGGGACCTATAGTACACAAGCTGCATGTGGCTTATTTCCGTCATCATCATTACTACACGTCATCATCATTACTACATGTTCCTGATGATGACATAATTAATGTCGATATATTAAATCCCAACACGATGGTGTGCATTTAAATATTTGGAGTTATGTATTATACATTCTCATTAATACATCTCATCTTTAATATTCCAGTGGAGCACAAGTAATTGCTCTAAACACCAGAAAACAACCTCAGCAGTTTAATATTTCATCTGGTAGATGGTACACAGTTCAGTAACTTGTGTTTCAGCCCTCCAGCTGAAATATAAGAATGGAATAAACCCAAGAATTTCCATGGCTCAGTTCTGCACACAATAAAATGGCTAGCATTTAGTTTATGCTGTACTCATTTTAAAGGTTTGCCAATGACGGGAAAAAAATTAATTAGGCCAAAACAAATAGTTGTGCTGCCAAAACACAGTGACAGTTGATAAACAGCATCAATCATTCATCAATTTTCTTTACTATTGACCTACAGTAGGCCTGTTATGCTAGGGTTATGTGCAAAGCCTTACTATGCACTTTGGTTAAAAAATAGTAACAGGGCTAAAATAAAGGTCACGGTATCAAATTGAGTAATTAAAACTGCGAGCTTATCACAGTATATTTCACTTTAGCATTTAGCACTTATTATTGATTCTTTGATACTGTAAGCCACGCATCTCAAATTAATTTTTGACAATAAAGTTGATGGCGCACCTTGTATCTTGCATTTTTTGTCACTTGTTACTTTTATATATATATCATATTCAGTGATTGCAAGAACAAAGCAGAATTTTAAGTTTTTGTGTTATTCAGGCTTTATGCAAAACAAAAGTTTTTGTTTGGTCTTATGTAACATACTCAGATTTGTCTGTCAGACTATATAATATCTGATCAGACTTCATAGAGGATCCTCAGAGAAGATGAATTTTTCTAGAATGGTTATAAAATTTAACAACTGATGAATCAGATATGAAACAGGAAAACATAGGCCCAGTTTTGATTGTACTTCTTTGTCAAACTAACCTGGCGATTTTAAACAAAATTAAATTCAATGCGAACAGAACCAAGATAAACTTACCCTTATTGGTAAAAATGCAATGAGATCATGGCTTTAGACTTGTTTACAAAGAAGTCTGGTCAAACATTATTGGGTCTGACAGATAAAAATCTGAAAATTAACATGGCTTAAAGACAAGCTCCGGAGTAAAAAATTGCTTTAAGATTTTTTTTTTTATCATGTAGTTGCCACAACCTTAAAAACAAAAGCAACAACTCAACTATAAAGACCGATACCATACCTCTTTTGCATCATAATTGACTGTTGGTTTGATTTAGTAATAATTTATTATTAAATAATCAATAATTTCATACCTCTTTTTTATTATTATTAGTCTCATCTTTAAGTGACTGCGACTGGCTTGCATCACTTTGCCAATGAGGTTCTGACTTTTCATCTGTAGTACTACCATCACTTTCTTTGTGTACAGTATTTGTACTTGTGACTGGTGAGGTGTTTTCCTCAACAAGATCACACTCATCCTCTTGTGCTTCGGAACTTTTGAGAGATGAAGAAGGATGCGTCTTTTCAGATCTAGAAATTTGTAGATGACCTGGTGAGGTGCCAAGAGAATATGAGCGCAATTTTCCTACGCTAGTGTTAATCGTAGCAGACTGGGCTAGAGCTGTGCTAGGTTGTATACTTGTTGGACTACGAGTTGGAGATACGTCGCGTGATTGTCGGAAACTGGAACTTCTGGTTCGCAACGGCTGTGGCTCTAATGTGGGCATACCTAAAATATAGCAATAAATAGTAATCTTTACTTTTAATTTTTTAATGATCATGAAATTTCAAGCAAGAATATATATATTTTTTTAAAAAAATTATTCAGATTTCACACAAATTACATTAAATTACTTTACGAGTAAAATGTCATTTAATTTTGTGAGAAAAAATAAAATTTCATGAATTCAATTCATTTTATATTCTCCACCACAAAAAGAAAATTCAAGAAAAAATAAAAAAATATTAATAAAAAATGCAAACATTTACGTTTCACATTCAAACATCCTACAAAGCATGTTCAACAAATAGCAAAGCTTCGCTTCGGACAGATATTACTACATATCTTTATTTTATATTCTAAAATTCATTCCCCTATCTTTCAATCTTTATACACTTGTATTACATTCATTATCAAATACAAAATTACAAAGAATAGACCTGACACAAGTGCCAGAAACCAAGTTTGATTTTAGTTATGTAAAAACATCTGTTAATTTCCCAGATTTGAACCTAGGACCCTGACACCGGAAGTTAAACATCCTAACCATAGAGTTGCAGCTCCACTATTGTTTACTATATTAAATTATTACTTGAATTGATAGGTATCCGTTAGTCCATTCAGCGAATTAGTCTCACGTATACAATGTATTGAATGTCTAACTTATACGCCATGCTCCATTGCACGCGTGAAAATGGTGATCATGACTTCACTAGTTGTGAAAAGCGTTCCAGTGCTTAGCCAACCGGTGATCATGACTTGTAGTTATGATTTTTAATAGGTACCCGAGATGAAGTCGCGAACGTCTACGTTATTATTGAGCAATATGGCGTCACTAACTAAAACTTGCGCAATTCTATTTTACAAATGGAAATGTACAATGTACTGTAGTTACAAACCACAATTATGTATGTAACATAAGATTTTATATATAGATAACAGTACTAGGCTACTGTAGGCAACACAACAAATTTAAAAACAACCGGTTGTCAAAACATCATGACCAAATTTCAAGGATCATATCTATTTGTCAAGCATCACGGGGGAAGTACTAGGCATCGTGCTACCATCATGTTTCTAGGTACCTTGGGAGAGCATGTACATGGAATTCGAGGTAAGCTATTGAATAATATTTCAGCTATGTAATAAACGCATTGAGAATGTGTCTCCAATATAATAAAGATATCTATTCAATAAATTATTATTCTTGTTATTATTTTCAAATTTATACTTTATCTCTAATTTGCTTGCTCTAGTTCTTTCCACTTGGTACTAAGCCTATGACACTAAATTTGAAATACCAGGCAACACAAAATGTAACTAAAAAATTTGTTTCCTGCCTGAAGGAGAAAATCAGAAATGCAAATTAAAATGCATCGAATAAAATTGTATGAAGTTCGAAGGCTGTGCTTTACCTTAATTAAATTAATAGCACCTTGTTTATTTAGTTCTATCAATAAACATTAGTTAAAATAACAAATAATTATCCCCAATAAACAATTGCGATAGGATCATGTAATGATGAGCGTTAATGAATAATTGGCTATCAATATATATATATATATTTCTTTAATAATTAATTTGAAAGTGACTGAGAACTGTTGTGTTTTATTGTATGACATTATGAAGTGTACAGTAGCTACCTATCTATAGCATTCAACAGGGATAGCAGACTTCACATACTGTAGCTGTAGCTAAGTAAACAATGTGATTGTCCAGCATGTTTATTGACTAATTCACTATTAATCAATTAATAAAATTAGTTATTTGATTGAATGATCGATCAAGTAGGTTTTAAAGAACTTTCCCATGCACCCCCAAAAGAAAAAATTTCTCAGAAAATAATATTCCTGGGGAATTGTTCAAAACGCTTCTGATTGATTTTAAAAAATTTTTTTTATGGGAGTTTATAATTTCCCTTACGAGAACAACATTAATATTGTGATTTGTTTTTGTCGCTTTTGTTGAATTTTAAAAATGGCTCATGGTAAAAATTATCACACACACATAATCATTACCTATGACATATTCTCCAGAAATTTTACATCTCTATCTTGGGACCTCTGTAGATTTATCCTCATGTTTGTTATAAAATTTAAATGTCTAAAAAAAATTGTTCAATTCTGTATGACAGTTTATAATTGCAAACGTTGACTCATCTCAATCAATGCCAACTTTCCAAACATCTTAATATTTCATACTTGATCACTTTTATAAAAGTCATAGCGCTGTCTCATTGTGAATAATTCATAGACAAAATGTTCAATTATGTGATTGGGGAATAGGTGTGCTAACATACTAAATCAAAAAGAACAGTATATAAATTAGTTGCATAATTATACTTAAAACTTGTTTTAAAGGTATAAACAAGGAGTGTGTTAATTCAATAAAAAAAAATTTTAAATACCTTCATTTAGTGTGTGCTCTCTGTCTATCAATGACATAAATTTCCCTCAAATTATTATGCCAATTAAAAATGTTATTAATATAATGTGTACAAATTTGATTATGAAAAATATACCATTTAAAACATAAAAGATATTCTGTAAAAATGGCTGTAAAATACTAATCAGACAAGTTCACAGAAGAGCTATCGCAGAAGACCAAACCCTTGGCAACAAACAAATAATCAGTCTCGGCTACAGTACTACGTTTAGAAAAGGTTCAATTCAAATATTACACATTACGTCTGCATTTGAATTATTAAATATAAAGGTGACACAAAAAAGTAATTCATTTTTTACATACAATGGTTGTAGCTGTAGAAACCTAAGAGTGGGTGGTAGACATTTTAAGGGTGTGTAGCTGATAACATTGATAAACTCTAAATAAAAAGAGTGGATTTTAAGAATGGGCAAGGTGTTAATTACGGTAGGTGGAGGTCCATGACATTAGCCTAATTTTACTTAGTTATCATTGTAAAAGCATTTCAATTCCTTTGCATACAAAGGGTAAAGGTTATGCATTTATGTCGTGCAAAATACGAGGGTCTTGATGTGCAAAAACAAAGTATCATATTTACACAGCCAAGACAGTGCGTGTATTTAAGAATTATGAATTCAATCGCCATATAATCTTAACAGTACCTGTGGCTGAGGTAGTAGTTGTCCATGTTGTAGACATGCGTCGGATTAGACTTGGGGGTAAGCTCCTTCGAAGCCGCTAGATAAAATAAAAAACAAAAGTTAATTGCAAGAATCGTCCTTGAGTAGCATCTGAAAAATTGCACCTAGAGGGAAGGGGAGATGCAGCAGATTTTATGTTAACTACATTAGGCACAACTTTTGAATGTTTGATATAGTTACATTACCCAAAATGACATTTATTTTTATTTATTGTCTGTCATCTTGTATTTTTCTTTAATAATAATAGAGAGAAACAAAGAATTATTATAAAATTTATGATAACTTTTCTCAATTAAAATATGCCTTGGAACATTAAATTATATTACTGTAAGCTTTTATGATGAATGTTGATCTTAATAATAATGATTATTATAATTTTATTTCAAGGATTTTACTATAAGTATAATTTATCATATTAGTGTTTCTTCTTGTTGTTCCTTATACTGCACTGCACTAGAGTTTTGAGGAGATTTTTTATAGGTATTGACAACCTGTCTATAAAATTATAATGATAGTAATAACGGCAGTGATAAATAATCGTGGAGATAGTAATAACAAACATAACAGTGGTGGTTTGGTATAATAAAAATTGTAATCTCTAATGAATAATACAATAAATATAGTCACTGTGAGCAAATGCTACAGGTCATAGATCCTTGCTTGTCATGAATTTCGGTGCTTTATGACGACTGATTGGTTGTGGTAGATTGGAAAATCCATACTGAAGGTAATTTAGGTAATTATTAAAATAGAGACCAAAGGTATAATCTAACTATATAATTAAAGTGTCAGAGATGTTTACACTTAATAAGAAGCAACAATATAAATGTATGAAAAGTAAATATGGCACGAATAAAGGGGAAGTAGAAGAATTCCGACGTTACCCTATAAAAACATAAAACATTGAAAAGGCAATATAAGCATTCATGTTAAGCTAGGCACTCACTGCTTTGCAGGAAGGACGGACGAATCCAATCCCACTCCCTGTGAGCGCTAAATGATGCGATGCAGTGTACTGATTGTTGGTGGCAGTATGAATGGATTCGTCATTAAAAACAATCAATTGCACTCGTGCTGTGGCGTTGCCCGGCTTTACAATTCAATCATTTATACGCCATTTTAGCAAAATTTGAAATGTAAATTTCCGATAACCTGGTAACTACCACTGGGGGGACTTCCAGAGGCCTACGTACCACGTGCTACGTAGTTACCAGTGTGCACGCCGCGCTCTATTTGACACTAGCTAGCTGCTCAAGCTAGGAAGTGTGTTGCAGGACGTTGGCGGCGTTGTTTCAAAATAAACTCGATAAAATGGTCTATAGTCATTCACTTCGAGCATTAATAATGCGGTTTCCAATTAAGAGAATTACAAAACTAGGAATTCCATCACTTTGTTGCAGCCTAGAATAATGGTAGAAGCATCCTCGTCGCAGCCTAGGATAACGCTAGTTCTACCACCACCATACACACAATCAAGTTAACATCTACTTGTATCACCATTTTCATCTTGCCATCTGATGGGCCTGGAAGAGTACAATGATTGTGTCCAGCTCTGACTGAAACAATGTATCTAGCAAGTGTGTGGCCACAATAAGAAGAAGCTTAGAATTTGGGACATCTGCCATAATTTTCTAAGTTAATTAACATGACTAAAATGATCTTCCTCATTTAAAAATCTAGATTAAAGTATGTAAATTATTATGTCTTTATTTTACATACTGAAGTCTACATGAATGTTAATGTCAAACACATCTACTGTATTTATCATTCATCCAAATTGGAAATATAAATAATGCATAAAATTACAATATTCAACAAAGAAATGGGAATTATCACTAACATGAACTTTTACCTAGTTCATGGCCATTTGCCAAAACATTATGCAAATACATGTTTTTTCTCATTATATCTACTCACACAAAACCATCATAATATTATGTCTTAGTATAAATTTGCAAGAAAATTAACAAAGGACGAGAAAATTTGACGTCTGTCAATGGAACAAGCTTTGCAACGCAAAGTAAAGTTTTCTCGCTCCATAATTCTTTGTAAATAAACTGGTTTTAATATTATTAATTACTGTAGTTTGAATTTATTATTATTTTGTTTATTAACTTATTTTGAATGTTTTATGTCTGATATTCTAATCGCTGTTGGTTTTTTGGGAAAAAATATAAAAATTAGATGACCCGTATTTAAAGCCATGTTCTGAACAGAAAGGCATGCAATTATATATTTTAGAAAAACATAAAAACCTAATAAAGATAAAAATTATTTGTTAATTTGGGATCACAGGAAATTTAATCACTAGTAGAATACATAGTGATTAATTTTCTTTTTCCAATCAGAAAAATTATGTGAATATATTTAATATGTACAGAGACATTTGCACGGACCACTGAAAAATATTTTGAGGTCAATTTTTTGGGTGGTGACCCACTTTTGGGAAGCACTGCCTATATACACCTGTAACAACATACCAACAAGACTATATGCACATTACCTAATATACTATTTTTGGAGGAAATGAAAAAAAAAATTTTTTTACATAAATACAAATTAAAAGTTTCAAAAAATTGGAAATCTGATATAAATTGGAATAATCTTGATGTCGACTTGATAGATAGAAATCTTTCATTTCTGGGTACCCAATCAGTGTGGGGACATTGCTCTTTCTTGGGGTCTAAATAACTAACACTTAAATTACAAATACAAACAAAATTAAATGAAAATAACAATACTATGAAGAATTAAATACAAAATTTGCATTAGATTGTCTGAATGTGGTTTTTCACTGCATGGCAGTATAGACGTGATTTACAAAAGACATTTTGAATTCATTTTGAATGCACATTTTGGCATTTAACAGTTTTTAAAGAAACCATCGCATTCATGCCCCGCACACAATGATCAGACGACAAAGCTTTCTTGGAAAGCGGTGAATTTTGACCTCACTACAAGTGTTGGTTCAGCCAGCCTGGTTCAGCAGTCGAACACTCCCAATGTTCACGCTGAGATACTGTTAGTTTACTTTGTTGCAAAGATACTTTTAAAGGTTATATGGAAATCCAAAATGTGTACATTGATTAGGATATCAAGTGAGATGACAATAATGATTATTATTTAAATCTTAAAAGGTTTGTATAATATCCACTGCTAATTGGATTTGCTTTTAAATGGATGTTAACTATCTTAAAGAGTGGTGGTGTCTATTTATCTCTATATGCATTTCTCCTTTATAATGCAATTTGAAGTCTTACTGATAGGCCTATGGTAAATGTCATCTGTTCCTTTGACTAATTATCATACGATGACTGTGTATTTTATGCAGTTAGCCATTATTAACTACCAAAGACAGTTCAATGTTTTCAAAAAGACGCTGTAAATTTCTAGTTGGTTACATTCTTGATTACTTTTTGGAAACATTATTTTTGTAATTTACATGTACTTAAGAAAACTTTTATATCTACTATAAATCTTTACTGTAAATTCTTTTTTTGGCTAATTAATTGGTATGTTATGCTGCACCTTGGTATAGGTTTTTCTAAAAATCAGTAGATTGCTATAATTTATAAATTCTTTTATCATTCAATTTTAAAGTAAAGATGTCTTGTTGAGTTTAACATGGGGATGTTTTTTAAATCCTGCGTTTCCAATTGTTGTGTAATCAATATTTTTGATATTCTTGGTTTTTGCTATCCGGTAACCGTCCAGAGCCTGTACTGATCTATAAAGTAGAATACTTTTGTATTTTAAGTTTTAGCTTGAAATCAGAAAGAAAAGAATTTCTGCACTTAAAGAGATGCATAAATAAGCTTGGCACACACTGTGCCAATGTTCTTTCAGCCAACATACTTCCATCCCTAAGACTGTGTCTGTGTATTATTATTGTTTATATTTTATGAGTCGGTGGGGTAACTTGGACGTGCACGTCTTCAGCAGTCCCTACTGACTTCATTTCATTATATTTTTGTTAAATATCAAAAGATTTAAATAAAAAAGGATAATACAACGCAGCGAGGTGCGGACACAACAGTTTGTTTTTAATGATGATCCTATCTGGCTACCACCAACAATGAGCATATGTCGTAAAGCGGTTACTTTGACTGTGATGTCTCCAATTGCTGCAATGTATGCCTGGCTTTACTCTAAAATTAGCTAGCAGTGAATCTTAAAATAAATAGTCTATATATCAATAGCGATGACTAAATTATTTTGATCTGCGGTTTAGCCAGGTTCGCATTTGGATATGCAATTTATCACAGTTAGTATGTGTTCCAGTGTGGGAGGAAGCCCAAAATAGTCTCTTTATGAGGCTTAGGGGGTATGACTGTTGTTTGTAGTCCAGTCAAATATCACCTTCACCCTTGCATAAACAGGGTAGTCAACGAAATTCACCCCATAGGTTCTACATATAATGTAAAGATTATTTCTTGATGTTGTGTTACATACTGTAAAAGTTTAACATTAACACCCAGATTTTGTGTACCTTACACAGTGGCAAGAAATATAAAACTCATTGTCCTTCAGATTTGAACCTACGACCATCATATTCAAAAGCAAAATCTTTAATTTCACTCAAAATAATATTCCGATGGCATTTCCAAAGGCGACCTATGTTGATGCAACCATTTCAGCATGCTACTATTATGAACAACGGTGAGGCTTTAGTGCAAAAATAGCTTGACTGCACGCTTCTCGTATCAAAGCATTCAGCCAAGCTACTCAACTCAGGAGTGTCACGCAATGTGACATGTAGTAGTAAATATATTACTACTATTGTTACCTGAGCAAAGGATTATATAAAAACTCAAGTCTCATTGAAAGTTGATAGGTTCTTTCGATCCTGAGCATGTTTTCTATTTTCATTAAGTTATTGAGGATTTTTCTCACAATTAGTTCACTGATCAGCCAACACCAATTAAGGTGATTAAGTACGTACCTTAGGTAGCGTGACAGGTTTGTCACCGACATAAGGCGAGTCGTCCATATCAGTAGTATAACTACTCTGTGTAAGCGCTACCAGAGGGCTAATCTTTGGCCTTTGTAGAGTGCTATAGCTGGTAGGAGGGCTAATAAGTGTTCCAACTGCTCTTAGTCCACCGATCACGTTAGCAGGGAGGGTAGTGTCCGCCAACATGTCCATGATAAGCCCATGAGCTTCCTGCATCACCGCAACATCTACAACTGAATTAGAAACCTGAAAATAAAAATAATATATGTAATCATATGCAAATATAATATTAAAAACTCAAATAGGCAAATTAATTATCAATTACCATGCTTGTAATTATTCAAAAAACACAAAAATATAATCATGAGTAAATTCAAGAAAGCAGCTTCGAAATATATTTTAAAAAATATTTGTAAAACATCTGTGTATTTTTATTTTGATATACTCCAGAAACATAGACTTGAAAAGGTCCATACAGTAGGTCCAACAAGTGACAGCTTTCTCTTAGGACCTAGGTGTTATAATATCTTAAATAACACCACTGACCGTGGGAAAAATTGTACTGGTTCTTCAGGGTTTTTGTTATTAAACACTACAGCAGAATTAATAGCAGGTAACTTTGATTATTACGGACTACACCCCTTTCAGCCGGGGGTCCAGGTCTAGATGCTCTCTGGTAAATTTTTGGAGCACTTTTAATTGCTTTAAAACAAATGGATTTTTGGAGGTTTTCAAGACATTTTTTTTGTTCAGTAAATCCTAATTATTTGTTGGTAGTAAAAGTTAAAATGACAACTCACTCAGAGCTGGGATATAAATTAATTAAAAATATATCCTTATTATTAAATTTTAGTATATTTTGAAGAGTTAAAATGAAGGAACAACAACTGAGATATATAGGTGTGTATAAACTATATTTAACAATGACAATAAAGGCTTGCCTAGGAAACTGTCTCTACAGTTTTGGAACACATTTTTATATTCCTTTTACCTTTTTACAGATTAATGTAAAGGGGCCGTCCAAAAACTATTAAACCGCGAGTACTACGTTATCGCCTCTTAACGCGTTGAATAGCCTGGGTTCCAGGCCCTAATTTTAGGTTGCTCAATCTTTATTGCATGCTATGCCTAATTTATTTGGTGTCCCATCTTATAAAAAATAAAGTGTATTGGACTGACGTCAAACCTCTGCTCAAACAACTTCTTTCGCTTCCCATTAACCATCTCAATGTTCAAAGTTCTCCCAATTACTTTTCAAATGTTTTCAAAACTGGGTCTCATCTTATCTTAAGAGATTATTTCCATTTACAGGGTACTTGTTTTCTTGGTTTATCTTTCAATACATTCGTACCCCAAAACCTGTCCATTCTACTTCTCACGGAGTATACTTTTCTATTTCAAAATATGAATGTTATTTTTGTTGGGGAGAGGGCCCGCAGGGCTCACTCTGAAATATTTCTATACAGGGATGTGCCTCATTTACGGGGTATATTTTCGAGGACTTGGTATATGGGGGGAGGGGGGATGCAGCATTTATGGGGTATACTTGTGAGGACTTTGTAGGACAATTAAGTTTGGGAAATAACCAGGGTGAAATTGAAGTTAACGTCTCTGGCCTATCCTGTGTCAAAGTGCCACGATTTTCCGCACGATGTTAGCGGGAATTTCAAGCTAGACAGGGTGCTAAGCTGGTAAGCCCTTTGCTAAGCCTACCTTTGGTACAGCGACGAGATCACGACCGGACAGAACACTTTTTGCAATTGGGAACTAGTCGATTTTGCGCCCTCTCTGGCACTATTGAGAGCACAGTGCGATTTTGGTAAATGGTAGTTCAAGTCCACAATTTTCAGTAAAATAGGTAGCGCAAGTGTCTTATGTCTTGAAGTGGCTGTGGCACCCCCATTTGGTTGGTATGCAAGTGAGCTCCCTGGGGGAGAGGGAGAGGTGTTTAATTTCCCCACAGCAACTTGACTATTGTTGTGGAGAGGTCCTTTCACTGCTGTAGTAAACCCCATGCTTAGCAGCATGTGTTTGTTGGGAAAAGGGGGCAGGGATTGAAATTCCCCAGTAAACGACAACAATTACTGTTGTACCCTATGTTCAGCAGCAACATTTTGCTGTCAGTACCAAACAATATCAGGGTGGACCAACTTCATATGCGTAAATTCAAACAATGTGGACCCATTTTATGCAAAAATATGAAAAATCTGGACCCAATTTTCAAAAAGTGGACCCATTTTATGTATAAAATTACATAATTTGGACCCATTTTTAAAAATGTGGACTCATTCTTTGTGGACCCATTATAAAAATTGTGTGGGAATCTTCCAACTGCCCCAATAGCTGGCTACGGCATTGACTTTGCCTACAAATTAAGAACCACCTAATTTCTTATTTTGCTGCTGTAGAAAAAATTTATTGCTGTGGTACAACTAAGGTCCACAGCAACTTTTTGCTGATCGAACATTTAGGAAGGGAAGGTTGCCTAAGTATTAACTTGATGTTACTTACTAATTAACTCATTCAAGTGTTAGACAAAACACAACATTTTTTATTACACTGCTCAATTTGTCTCCAGGCAAATATCTGTAGACTTGGTGATATACAAGAAAGTATAATACATACTCCAAGTATTGAAATACATGCCATCGTGTTGGGATTCAATATTTCGACATTAATTATGTCATCATCAGGAATGATGATGGTGATATATGATGATGGTGATATACAGGTATGTACTTGTAAACTGCTCAAGTCTGAAGTAGTTTTAAAAAAAAGTTTACGTTCATACAGTAGAATTGAGACAGAAACAGGTCATTTACCCCATAAAAAGATTTTGAAAAACAAACCAATACTTTAATAATATAATGCTTAATAAGTGGTACTTTGGTTTACATAGTTCTAAACATTTTTTTATGCGGTATTAATCTGTGGTAAATCACTACAATGAGAAGGAAACAGCTTTTTGTGCGTGGGATAAACTAGTGTGTAAAATATACATAAGGACTTGACAGGTGTATTTAAGATTGATTAATGATTCCATTAATGTCCCTACCAGATTTTAGATGCACCATCTTGAAAACTAGAGCGGTCACTCTACAGATCATACCTCCCAGACTGTACTAAAAACTTAAAAATTTAACATCCTGTGACATTGACCTTTGACGACTTCAACCAAAAAATTAATCTTCCTTAGACCAATGCCTCCATTCTCTTTTATGATGATCTATTTATTAGTTCTTACTTAATCATGATCAATGTGATTCAGCTAGACTTCTTAACCTCTAAATATTCCCTAATATTAAGATTGATTACTGATTCCATTAATGTCCCTACCATCAGACTTTAGATACACTCTTGAATACTATAGCGGCGCATACTTCCAACATGTACTAGAAAAAAAAAAAATTAATATCCTGTGACCTTGACCTTTGACAATTATTGATCAATGTAATTTTTTTAATTTGTGAGCTAGACTTTAACTTCTTACAATAACCCACAAAATTAATCACTTTTTTCTTAAAAACCCATGAGCCTTCTACTAAATTTTATTTATGATCCATTCATTGGTTTTGGCATAATCCTACTAATAACCAAACAGAGAGACAGACAGATAAATAGTGGTAAATACATTTGGGAATTCGGTAGTGTGGAGCATTATCTCCTTGTAGCTGGGACTAAAACCACAGACGTACGTACGACCGCCAAGTACTCAATACAGCAATACGTTTTATTTTTTATTTTTTTAAATTTTATTCGGCTTTACACTGGCAACAGTAAAAAAATATATATATAAATATATATGAGTTTGTGTACAGTCGGCCATATGAGCATCGTTGGTATAGGTTTCCCACATGCGTGATAAGCGGCGGCATCCTTTGAGCATAAACGCTCTACTAGCATCCACAAAATTTGTTTTTCTTCTCTATGATTTTAAATTATATTATAAAATAGCGGGATTGCATTTATGTCCAGTATTATTTGTAACTGTATTGTTTGAAATAAAGAATGAGTTATATTTGTTGTCTCGATTTTTTGCAACATAATATTCTGTTAAAATATCAATTAATTAATATTTATAACTATAACAGGGTTCTCGCCTCGCCGGTCAGCCCTGTCCGGCTCTCAAATTTCCGACCGGCATCTAAAACTGCACCATTTTTACAAAGATTTTGTCATCCTTAGAAACATAATTAAACGCGAAATACCTTGCTAAAAAATCAAGGGCATTTAAATGTAAATGCCCTATTCATTGAGAAAATGACAGTAGATGTACACGTCCCCATGGTTACATTAATTTTTAATTAAGTCTTGCAGTGGATAGGACCACAACATACCCATTCATTCAGAATGAGTGTGCACATTTTTGGTTTAACAACTGTTATAACACACAACAGAAAGCAAACATAAACGCGATAGCAACAACAAAGTTAATGATTTTATTATGACGATCAATGACAGAATTAAAATGACATGTAAGAAGTGAGTGTACAAAAAAGTAACACTTCGCTAAAATATAGCTGAACAATTCCTACCACTGAAACCATGGCACATGTTGGTATCTCTGAACAAGGCAGTCGGCTATTCCCTTCTTGCGAAGGGAGGGGGGGAAGGGAAGCAAAGGGGCGTTGTCGGGCACCACTCAAAATATTTCTAAATTGGTCCAGGTGGTAAAGCAGAAAAAAAATTTGACAATTAAGGCTTAGGCCTATTTAATTAATTTTAGAAGCTAATAGGCCTATGTAGAATATATATATTTTTTTTTTCTCCCCGATGAATTGTTATTTTTATCCCCGATGTGAGGCAGGTACTATAATAGCATTGTGTCAATTGCGAAAAAATATAGGGGGCAAGTAAAAAATTGTGAGGGCAACCAAATCTGAGACCTGGCTTGCCCGAAGGGCAACCAAAAATTTCAAAATTCTGCGAGGCCTGAATCGTAGAAAAACTCTGTGAAAAAACATAGGAAAATCGGATACAGTACAAAGAAAAAAAATCAGAACATAAACAATAACTTTTCCGCTTTCGAGAGAAAAGCCAAATATAAGTCAGAAAACCTTTTTAATATTATGTATTCATATCGTTGGAATTGAAATATCTACAGAATTGAAGGCTACTCGAATTTTACGATACAAATTCCTATGTACTAGCAAATTTCAAAACTAGAAAATTATGAATACCGGTACTTGATCTGTAACGACATAATCTCAACATCATCATTTTCTGTAAATGAATTTGCCAGTCAT